TCCCAAGTGTTCTTGAGTTGAACACTTTTTTTCTCCATCATCCATCTTCTGAAATCACTCAAGGTGAGTTCATACCCCTAGATTTTCATGTTTTCTCAAGTTTTCAGGGGGGGAATACAAGTTAAAACACCAAGAACATAACTAAACTTTTCTAACAGCCTTCATCAGAAAAGTTCAACTCCATTCACGGACTGGTTTGGGCAACTTAAACATTTTTTTTTCAAAACTATACAAGGTGAAAGTAGTTCAAGTTTTTAGCTTTAAAATGATTACTTGCACATCTCCTTACTATTTTTCTACAATTTATGGTGATTTTTAAAAAACTGTCTATCATTTCAAACACCAAACCGGACCAGTCTGTGATTATGGACTTTTTCACCCAAGTTGGAGGTCGTTAAAAATCATGATAAAAATTATGAGTAAACTAGACACATTGTGGGAACTCTCAGAATTTACGAATTTAGTTTTCAACTTCGTATGATTTTTCTATGACTTTTCTAAAACAATGCAGATAGGTTAAATTTAGTTAACAACATATAAATTTCATAACACTTTGTATTATGTTGAGAAAAACGTATAACCATAAGTTCTAAATATTGAATGTGTTTACTTGTTATTTAATCATCATAAACTGAAACTTAGTCATTCATGATAAGATTATTCATTCATTTAGAACACGTACATTAAGCTATACTAAGCATAGTTTTTGGATTCATAACACTAATGCATTTTCATAAAAGAGTTCTTATATATTACAAACGTTTTGGATAAACTATAATAGGTATAGTTTATGATTCATCACATAACACACTCGTACAAAAAGGGTACATTCATACAAAAATGTTTTACACTCACGCACACCACACGTAAACTTGTTAACCTAAATTGTGAGACAATCTCTTTCCGTACGTCCGAGTGCGGGATCTAAATTCCTGGTAGTTATAATCAGAGTCTCCTGGAGGGAGAACGTGATAGTTGTGTATAGATCTATATTGGGTTTGACACCCCACACCTTGCTGCTAGCTACAGTGGGACCTGCAGGTCTACGGGTGACAAATGTCATTTTAGTTTCGCGACGCCTGAGAAACGTCGTGGTAGGTTCATTCAGTCATAGTATGATTATAGCGACTCACATAGGGAGATAACAATACATAAAGTTTACGGGATTTTTATAAAACCTAAAGGGGTTTTATGTCGATTTAAAATCACTTCTTATATCAATAAGTACAGATATTACTGTACACTTTCGGTTTTGGTATTTATGACTACACATCATTTGAAACCACTTTTATATCTTTAAGTATGGCCAATACTTGTTATTTCTCGGTCCTAGGATTTAGAACTATATATACATTATAAAGAAAATATTGGACTTTCTGGATACATATTCTAATGCTTTTACAAGGAAAATAGTTTACTTCTCTAATGAAATCTCTTATGAACTCACCAACCTTTGTGTTGACACTTTTTCAAAACTACTTGTATTCTCAGGAATTAAGTGAAACAGGAAATCAACAACATTTTGAGGATGGGACGATAATTCGTCAAACAGATCATTTTGTATCATAATGTAATTGATTTGAATCATGTAAACATATACTTTAGTGTAACTTTTTCAATTATATTTGTGATGGTTGTATTTACTTTGAGCACTATTATACTCGTTGTTGTGATACTCTACATGAAGTCCTCCACCCCTGGACGTTTCCGCCACCTTGGTTTGGGGGTGTGACAACATCATGTATTAAGAATCAATGAATAGGAACTTAATGGAGTTAGATAGTCGATTTTACCTGAAGCACAACCATACTCTTTGACTCTCCCATCTTTTGGACTCTTCAGGCTTTTAGGGCAGGCTTGTATCCGACGCCCTTTCTCTTGGAAACAAACGTAGGTTGGTTCTCCTAGAACATCCTCAGAAGCATGGTCGGTTGACTTTCCCAACAAATATGCTCCATTGCATTGCCAAACCATTTCTGATTCAGCAGCAATGAGCATGTAAGTTAGGTCAATGAGGTTTGCATCATGATCCATCATATAATACTTTCTTTTGAACTCATTATATGATTCAGGGAGTGACTGTAGAACCCATCCTATAGCCAACTCATCAGGGAATGATGCACCCTACATTATTAACCTATCGATGTGTGATTTCATTCCTAGAACGTGGGCACACACGGATTTACCATCTTCATGTTTCATTTCCAATAGGGCTTTAGTGACATTGAACCTTTCAATTCTTCGATCTTGTGGGTTAGGAAAAACAACGGGAGGAGGAGGAGGAGGAAGTGAAGGATGATCTCTTATTCCTCGATTGAATCGTGGAATATCATCTTCATGTCGAAAGCTTGTTCCACGGGATTTGGGAAGACCATAGTTGTCGTACTTTCACATCTACAAAATGGGAGAAAATCAAATTCAAGTTAGTTGATAGATTGAGTCCTTAATAAATCACCCAAATGAGATATTAAGGCTAGGACCCATCACAATATGCTACAACCTAGAAAAGGGATGCCGTAATCTAGTTGCAGAATATTTGAAGGTAAGTGAATGACGATTCACTAATTTCCACCATGAAAAACGAAAAAGAGATTTAAATTTTAAATCTATGAAAACTCCTAGATCTTTTGAGATTCATTGAACATTTCAATGGCATGTTTAAATCTCGATATTCCCCTCTAGTTTGTGACTGGGATGCCGAGGATCACAAAGTGGGTGTCAATAACGATGCAAACTTACATGGTGCCATCATATGTTACAGTCACCTATTCGATGTGCCGGTAAACCACACACGCTCCATCGAACTATGATAAAAACTGATTCACCCTTTGCTACCTTCGCTTAGAACCATTTAGTGTGTCGGTTAACCACACACGCTCCACTAACGTCTTCGCAAGGGCAAAAAGTGTAATTTCATGGAATTGCATCAATTCACTTTTTCCTAAAGTAACTAAGATTGGGAATGTTATGATAGCATTTAGTTACTTTTATACTTCATTATACTTATAATGGAAGGTTTCTGTCCTATCCTACCCGTTCGGCTAACGACCCTCCACTAGTCAAGAGTGCGGTGGGTAAGAGTGGATACCCATTCAATCGCCATTTTATAGGCAATTTCCTTAAACACCCCTTATAGACCAGCTTCATGAATGAGGCCTACTAACGGTAAAACTGACTTTTACTCATACATATACATAATGTTAGACTTTTAATGCTATATATAGTATAGGGTGTATTTTATACTTTTAAAATACTATGTGGTCAAATTTAATAATTATACCTTTAATTCAATTAAATTGTAAACCAAAAACTATATGGGTTTATTAAACCTTCTTTAATTATACACCTTAATTAATTGATAAAACCATAAGGGTGTGATTTGAACTTTTCAAAACAATACTAGGGTTTTAGAATTTAAAATTCCTAAATTAAAATTTACTCAACTTTTAAATTCCAAAACCTGAGGGCATGTTTTGAAACATTTCAAAACCATTAGGGTTTAACTTATTTAAATTTCAAAAACTAAACTTCTAAGTTCAAATTTAAACTATATAAAACCTAAAGGGGAAAAATTGAGACTTTTCATAACACAAGGATCAAATAACAAATAATATAAATTAAACAATTAATTTCATCATTATCTATATTTGACCTAATTTCAATTTCTTGCAAAGTAAGTTACCCAATTAATACAAATAATCAAACTTTATCATATAACGAAGTTATTATCTAATCAATTGGTAATTATCTTTTGTTTAATCAAGGATATACTCATAATATGTATAAAATTGGATTTTAATGATCTAAAAAAGATAAGGCAAACATTCATGAGTAAAACAGAAAGAAATCCCAAAAATAGCTCCATCTGACGCTCGAAGTCGCCGAGTACCACACTGGACTCGCCGAGTACACTATGGTACTCGCAGAGTTCATCAGGCAGGGAGCTCAAAATACGTTTTTGCAACTTGAACAAACACACAATGCATCAATACAATAGAAACCAATCAAGGCTATGATACCACTGATGGGTTTTGGCCATAAGAACATCGTATGTGCACATACAAACCCTAATGGTTGGATCTAGGTTTCTCTATTGTACATGAAATTTATCCAAGACAATAAACCCTAGATCTATTATATGATAATCACTATAACATATAAATCAGGGTTTAGATCATACCTTGATTGTTATGCAGCAATAACAATCCCAAATCCTCCTTGTAATGACTTTAGAAAGCTTAGAGTCACAAATGTCACTCCTCTAATGGTTCACAAACACCAAAAGAAAGAGGATGAAGAATAATGAGAAAGGATGCTGCCCAAAATCATCCAAAACCCTAGAGGATCTCATCACCACGTTTTTGGGGCTTAAGGGTGCTCTTTATACATGTAGGCTATTAGGGTTTTAAACTAGGAAACCCTAATCTGACTGCTTAAGCCCTAAGCAGCCCATGGATTCATTTCTTAAAGACCTTGGACGATATCTAATGGGTCTCCCCATATAATTCGTCCAACCTTATATAATAAGGTAATCCATAGCCCAATTGCAATTATCTTATAATTACAATTACAGTCCCTTAAGTTTAATTAATCTCTTTTAGCCACAAACTTAATTCTTATTAATTGTTGACTAATATTAATTACACAATATGATTTCTCCTTTAATATATTATTCTCATAATATATTAATAAATCATATTTAAATCTTTCTCTCAATAATTCATCCTATCAAGTTCTTTTGGTGAAGGCAACCCAAAAGGACCATGCACCATCGGGTCAAGTACATACCAAACTAGTTATGGACTTAGACACTAATCCAGCACTAACATGCCACAACAACGTGTATACATACAAGAAAATGGAAGAACACACTTCCAATCAAGAGTACAAAACAAAGTACACAGTTTATGGTTAGTAATGACCAGTAATATTTACTATACGCATGGTACATAAAAAGGAAAATACAAAACAAGCAAAAGGGAAATACACAAAATCACCCCTCAGAGTTTGAAAGAACCTCCCGGATTCGACCTACCACAAAATTGGCGAAAGCTGTCATAATCCAACTTCCCCAAGTGAAAAAGGCCCAAGAAATCCATCTCAGTCAGGGACAATAGAGCGGCATCCACCTCTTCAGCCTTTCTTGTACACAAGGCTAGGATCTGGGATTTCAGGTTCTCTGAAACTTGTAGACCAACCACCCAATTGTTTCCCCTTTTCAAATCCAAGGGCCTCACATGCCTTACGAACACCCTAGACCGTACTGACAAAATCCATGCTCTCAATAACCCTGTCAATTAAGCGAACCACCCCATTCTCCAGCACCCATTGCAAATTACCTCAAGTAGTGACACCTTCAACATGGGCTTAAGCCAATTGACTTTGACACCTTGCCAATCTATTCTCCAGCTCATCCTTCTCTTGAGTGAGAGAGCTCACTTGGTCCTCAAGTCGCTCTGACCGGTCCTCCAAAGTGGCCTTCTCGTAGGGCACAATGTTGTTCTGCTTAACAAGAACTTGGAGACCCTCCTATAAAACACAAACCTTCTCCCTCATGCTTGCCAAGGAACCCTGTAATATTTTCAACTGCCCCTAATTTGCACCAGCATGGCGAACCCAGTTGGTGGACGCTACCATAAGGGTATAGGTATGGACCATATCGTAACAAAGGTTACTAGCCATACGAGCACTTGATTGGCCCTCAAGCGAGCTCATCGTGGCCAGAGGATGAGCGTGTCTGATCTATTCCTCGGCGGTAGCATCTTCCAACAGTAAGGAGTCTCTAGTAATTGCCCATCCCAGAGTGTAGGTCATGAAAGACAGGGTATGGGATGAAGTTCTTGTTTCATTAACCAGGGAAGGCTTCTCGCGCCAGAAAGAACCTCCAGGTGAACACAGCGCACCCCCAATTATAGAGCCGGAACTAGGGTTAACCAAGGACGAACCAAAGAAGGGTGAGGGTGATTCATTTAGAGAGTTGGGCACTACCACTACCTCTTTTTGCCCAGAAAATTGGTTGCCAAGAATAACCCCAATACCACCAAGAATCCGGGCCACAAATACAGTTCTACGAGCCTTACGAGGATGAAGACCCACATCGTTGGATTCTGTCTCCTTATCTGACTACGGCACCACATGCAAACTCCGCCTTCTCTGAGTATGAGCACTACATGTTCTTGCTTGGAACCTTATAGGCGAACCGGAAGGAACATAAACCAGTGAGTGAACTAGGGAAACAACCCCAAAGGTCAGCTGGGAAGGCGACACATGCCCGCTAGAACCTTCATTTCCTCCTTCCACCAAGGGTAGTCCAGTAAGCTCTCACATACGCCTTTCAGACACAGGAGGAGGAAGAGCCTCTACAATATCGATATCCTGATGGCAAAGCTTGCCCTAATAGTAACCATGCAGGGCCATCTCCAAAGAAATCTCAGCCTCAACACCTATGAAAACAAACGGCAAAAGTGAGATCTCACAAGCCAACAAGATATACTATCCTCAGTCTGTTTTCAAAAAAAAAAGGTAGGGGAGAAGGAGAAGGGTTAATATTGCATCTCACAACGAACATCTGCGCCATTTTTCTACGAGCCCTCCGAGCAGCACTCATACCGGCCGCTGCAAGAATGAAATCTTCCCATTTCCTCATAACAATGGTGATGTATCCCAGACGCTTGCCAAGAGTCATATTACTCCCAAAAAACTTGGGGAGATGGTTAGAAAAATATCGGGATCTATGATATCCACATCCCACAAGGTTTTGGTTAACCCAAATCCACTGACGTTGCCAATTTTTCCTCAGAGCATCTTATTCAAAAATCAACTAACAAATGCCTCTTCTTTTCACTAAAGTATAGACCCCGAAATTCGTAGTTGAACAGAAGAAGTAACTGAAAACCCAAAAAATTTGGTACATAACCTATAGATGGAAAATCAGTTCAAAACCAATGATTTTATTAATAGTGCTCGGCGTCAACTTGTTGACGGAAAGGCCAAAGTAATCCACAATCATGTTGAGGCAATCGGATGTCGGCAATCATAATATCGCTTCAAATAGAGGGATCAAAACCCCCACCTTCTCTTGAGGTCGATCGTAGATTGACGCCCCTTTGCAAGAAAAAGTACGCCGTGCTCTGGTAAGAAGTCGAAGTGATCTTGCAGAAACTTGAACTCCTTGGCAGTAGGGACTCTACAGTAGAAAAGGATGAACAATCAAAAAGAAAATTAACAGAATACCCGGATTGATGCAGCAAAGCCAAATTAGGGATATAAGAGTGAAGAGCCTCAGGAAAAAGGGGGGAATTTTTAAGTCCCTACCTAAAGCATGTCAAACGAAAGAACTAATCTGAAACATACATGTGTTGGGACATAGACTCGGACGGCGATGCCGTCAAGCTGACACATACACTGACGAGTCTAAGAGACTTGTTAATGTATCCCTTTGGGGAACATCAAGAATGAAGTGAAACTGACACCAAGCTTGGCCTAGTCACAACCTAGTCTAAAGAAAAGTTAGGGCCTTCGTCAATGCAAAGAACGCCGATATGGTGGTTAAGGCGTAGAACCGCACCATAACCCTTATATCAAGAAGTTACATACCAGCAAACATGGGATGTATCTTAGAGTCCTACTTGCCCATTATACGATAGCCATGATCTTCATAAATGATTAGGATATTCCCTCCTAGCCAATGGAGGAATGAGGCAAAAGGCGTGACAAAGGACCCTCCAATATGGGTCCGCAACGTCGTACCTCACAAAGGAATCCTTAATAAAAATCGGTTGAGGGATACGCCTCTAAAAATGGTATAAAAGGATCCATCTTCTTGAAAATGAAGGGGACATAATTCTCTCTTCCCTATCATCTTCTACCATATTTCTCAGATCTCATACTGACTTGATCGCTGGAGATTTGTCCTGGGAACTCCTCCCAGATGTTGACTAACATTCGTTTCTTTCTTTTACACTATGATAACAGGAGAAGATACTCAAACGCATCCCTATTATAGTTACGACTCCATCCTCTCAAGCATATCACAACATGAAGAATGTCTTTTTTGGTTTTGCGGTGTGAGTATGTGGAATTTCCATTCAAGGTTTGGCTAAGGAAGAGGTATATAGATGTGTGTAATCTAGGAGCTCGTTGCATCTATTGGTCCCTGTTGGCGATGCTAATGAATAGATAAGGAGCCGCTGGGATTGCTCAGGATGAAAAGCTATGATGGAAGGAAATTGTCATCTGGTGGTATGGATTTCTATGTATGATCT